CTTCGATCAACAATAGCAACTAGATAAAGGGTTACGTACAAAATCAAGCTCCAGTTCTGTCCGTGTGAATAATAATAGTAAAAATATAACAAACGGAGGAAAATGTTTTAAAATAGTTTTAAGTTCAACCTAATAACAACCATGGCACCTAATAATAAAGTCATAAATCGTCAAAATATTATCTAATACTTACGACCATTCGTCATATAAGACGAGAAAAGCATTTTCTTACTCCTGTCATGTAGAAATTAAAAGACATAAGTTACACAATATCTAGTATGAATTCAACCTTAAGATACAACAAATAAAGAAAATTTTTCTGTTATTGCCTTGCGATCTATATCGTTTTGTTTTGTTACGTTTTGCTTTTTCGAATTTCGAATTTCGCTACAGGAGGTATGTATGGAGTCGCGTTGAACACTTAAATAATTTTATAATATGAAAATTAAGATTTCGGGATCTTAGTATACATCAATTATTTTTATTAGCGGTACGTTTTTGTGTATGATATTATGTTTATATACTTTATTATTAAAAGTTTAAGTCTGAGTCAAAATCATTTATTTCAGTTAGACCAGGAAGGCACTTTTGAACGTCAATAATATAAATTTAAAAGTAAACTATTTGCTCATTCCAAGGTGTAGATTCCTATGGAGAAGAACGAGTAAAAAACTCCATAGGTTAGGTACTCTTTTCCTATCAGGTTACAATACAATTTTATTTTACAATACAAATCGACTCCATGCATCCACTGTTCCGGTTAAACAAAAGTTTGTGCACGTGTTGGCGATGCTTGGCCAAGGGATCGCCAACATACGCACAAACATTGGTGGCGTTGGTTTATAATTGATAATTTTGTCTAATTTGATATTATTTACTAGTTTAAAAGCTTAAAATACAGCTTATACTTTTTGTGCCTATCGTAAGTAAGGCACTCCGGCCGTTATACTGCTTTTTCGGTTGTTATTTTTGCAACTTGCAATTACTCGTGAGACGTGAGTACGTTGGCCGTGTTTGGAGCATACTAAACAAAATAAGAGCTCACTTCTCAAGTGAGCTCTTATTTGTCGAGACGATTTTCTTGCGCCGACCCGATATCTAGTTGCTATTGTTGATCGAAGTTTGTAATACAAGTTTTGCAAAGAAAAAAAAAATAGTTAAAACAAAAAATAACTAGTGAACCATTGCAAAAAACAAACTTCGAAAGCACAGAACTTATTAGCATATAAGTATGTACTTATGTTTAACAATGTTTATTACTGTTACCTAACCTAACCTGAAACACAGGTGTCCTAGTTCAGAGGCACCTTATATTGTGAACTTCATATAGCTTCAAGCAAAACTGTATAT